CGTTCCTGAGAAGGATCCTCAGTGGAGAATGACTGGACTTAAAGCCTGCTCAACGGGAGGGAGCTCATGGGTGGCACTGTAAACATAGGCAAATACGCATGGCTGGAGAGGTCATATATCCTAGAGAAAACACTAAGTCTGTCACATCCCTAGACAAACATAATTTCTTGCTCTATGCTAAATATGGATCTTTGTATTTATAGGCAGTACGCCAGTCACCTGTCATCGAAGAAGCTTCTTTTGCAACAGATGGAAACTCTTGCAGAGTTCCACAACTGCTCACACACAGAGAAGAAGTGTCTGTGAGATGCCCAACCCTAAGTGACACATCTACAATGGAACCTCTATACCTAGGGCTAAGGGAACACAGTGGAACAAGGGGTAGAGAGGACACTAATGCATCTCCCAAATCTCATCAGTGAAGATCCCTCATGCAACAGAGAGCCAGGAACACAAAAGACTACAACTTTACAAAGTGTAGAGAATAAGAGACTGCAGAGTGTGGGCTCCTGGACAGGACTCCTATATTAAGCTTCACCCACTCAGGGCTCAGGGACCATTGTGGAAGAGAGGGAGGAAAGATTGTAAGAGCCAAGGGAGGAGATGCATGACCATAAGGAAACAGAATCTCACAGGCTCCTGGGGCCTTGCTCATATGAACTTACAGCAATGGTGACAGCAGGCACCAGGCCCATGCAAATTCAAGCAGACAAAAACCAGCACGGAACTGAGGAAATGGGCAGGAGGCCACAGCTTTGGCAAGGAACTATTGGCAGCTGATCACTGCTGGGTGAAGAAGAATTGATCTTCTTTAAGGCAGTGACTCTAGGTAGGCTGAATAGGCTCCAGGGGATGAACTCACACCAAGGAACATCTGGGGATACAAACTTGACTCAATAGGCCTTAACATATGACAGAATGTGTTAAATCCTGTGGGTGGTCTGAGGGGGGTGCAGATAGGGAAGGGGGAGCTGAATACGATTAAGATGTATAAAAATATTTTTTTCAAAAAGATTCCCTGCCTTACAGTCCGTCACTTTCTCTTCATTCTCTACGTAGATCTGTTCTTAACTTTCCCCTTTAGCTCCATGTGAAACATTCTAAACCCATAAAGTTTCCAGCAAAGACTTCCCTGAGCAGAACCCATCTCTGTAAAATCCTGCTGGAACTGTCACCACCGTAAGCCTGACGCATCTAACAGGGACTTCATGTTGCGGACACAACCTCTTGGTGTCCCCCAGTGAGCCACGCTGCTGTGACAGCCAGGAGGCTCTGCTGTCCTGGATGCTTCTTGCCACTGTTTTCCTTATGACATGAGCATCCTGATCATGAGTGTGAGTCCTTCAAAATGTCTCTTATGTTCATCTTTCTCATACACAATTTCTAGTTGTAACCTCTAAAGGTGTTTATTTTTTTTACATTCTAATCCAAGGTATGTGTCTCTTAAAATGTGATCATTTCTAAAGGATTTTTAAAAGCTAAAGAAAGCATTCACTTTTGAGAAGGGGAAAGACAATTCTCCTTGTGGCTGGGCGGGAAGCTGCAGGTGAACAGTCTGGAACAGTCTGAGGTGATTTTTTTAGGAACTCAAATATGCGAGAGTGCAAACACACATGTTCATTCTGGTTAAAATCAGTGCTTTATTTGCAGTTTCATTTCATACCCAGCAAGATTTCCTATGTTAATGACAGGAGTCAGGAGACCTGGCCCTTAGGGGACATTCTGTGGGGCTAGGGTTTATGATTAGTTTTCTTATCTTTAAAGTGAGGGATCTGAACTTTATGCTTACTCCATTTCTAAAAGTCTATTATTCATTTAAGATCTGTAGCTAATTGTGATATCCTTGATTTTACTTGTTAACTTATATTGGATAAAAGTCCTAACTGGGCATGGTGGTACATGCCTGTAATTCTAACATTCTAAAGGCGAAAATAGAAGGATCCAGAGTTCAAGTCTAGCTTGGGTGACACAGTGAGAGTAAGGCCAACCTGGGCTACATAGTGCATCCCTGTTTCAAAAGCCTCAAATCAAAAAACCCAAACCCAAACCAAAACTAAACCCTCCAAAACAAAATCCAGAACTAGTGAAATAGCTCAGCAAGTAACGGCGCTACTGGCAAGCCCAGTCCCCAGGACCCATAGGGCAGAAGGAGAGAAACTACGCCTGGAGGTTGTCCTCTTACTTCCACAGCATACATGGCACATGCACACCTGTACACAGACACACACAGACACACAGACACATACACAGTAATTACATGTTAAAAATGTTCTTGGCACCCAAAAGCTGTGAATATAATTTTAGAATGCCTGAAAATCTAGTAGTTTTTCTCTTCTTTTCCTTAAGTGACAGAGAAAGTCTGAAATAGCCTTAGTATTTTGTTCTGTATGTAAGGAACACACACACACACACACACACACACACACACACCCCTTTTAGCTTATTCTAACTGAAGTTTAGTTCACTTTAGCAGAGCATTTGTGTGAACATCCCTATACCATGGAGATTAACAATCCAATGGAAACTTCAAAAGGCATTGCGTCTGTTCAGTTTTGGAGACAAACTGTGTGGTTACTATGTCACAGCCTGAAGTGTCCCACCAATAGATGACTTTTGATGATGGGGAATTCCAGGCTGGGAGCGAGCAGACAGACCTTGGTAAATAGTGACTCCTTTGTTGCCAATCTGTGACTTCAAAGAATTCTTTGTTCTTTGCCCAGGCTTTGCAAGCATGTTGGGACTTTTGGAAGCAGCTGGTGGGGAACCATCATCAAGTCAAGGGATTTCGGTTCTGAAAGGCACTTGAGGAGGCAAAACTGTGACTTCAAAGAATTCTTTGTTCTTTCCCCAGGCTTTGCAAGCATGTTGGGACTTTTGGAAGCAGCTGGTGGGGGACCATCATCAAGTCAAGGGATTTCGGTTCTGAAAGGCACTTGAGGAGGCAACAGAGCTGGATGGTTAGGGGGATGGTCTCTGGAGTATGACAGAATAGGTTTGGACCCTGGGGGACCATCATCGAGTCAAGGGATTTCGGTTCTGAAAGGCACTTGAGGAGGCAACAGAGCTGGATGGTTAGGGGGATGGTCTCTGGAGTATGACAGAATAGGTTTGGACCCTGGGGGACCATCATCGAGGCAAGGGATTTCGGTTCTGAAAGGCACTTGAGGAGGCAACAGAGCTGGATGGTTAGGGGGATGGTCTCTGGAGTATGACAGAATAGGTTTGGACCCTGGGGGACCATCATCGAGGCAAGGGATTTCGGTTCTGAAAGGCACTTGAGGAGGCAACAGAGCTGGATGGTTAGGGGGATGGTCTCTGGAGTATGACAGAATAGGTTTGGACCCTGGGGGACCATCATCGAGGCAAGGGATTTCGGTTCTGAAAGGCACTTGAGGAGGCAACAGAGCTGGATGGTTAGGGGGATGGTCTCTGGAGTATGACAGAATAGGTTTGGACCCTGGGGGACCATCATCGAGGCAAGGGATTTCGGTTCTGAAAGGCACTTGAGGAGGCAACAGAGCTGGATGGTTAGGGGGATGGTCTCTGGAGTATGACAGAATAGGTTTGGACCCTGGGGGACCATCATCGAGTCAAGGGATTTCGGTTCTGAAAGGCACTTGAGGAGGCAACAGAGCTGGATGGTTAGGGGTATGGGCTCTGGAGTATGACAGAATAGGTTTGGACCCTAACTTCTCTTCTCCCCTTAACAAGTTGTCCATCCTGTCCACGTCTTGTAAAAAGAGACTATTTTACACGTCACAGAAGTATTGTAAGGGTCTGATCACAGGTGCTTAGTGTGGTAAGCTCTGGGTACATCGAGGTCACTGTCATCAAAAATGTCCTCATTTTGCAGAGGTCAAGGACAGGCACCAGGCCCATGCTGGGTTAGAGGTAAATCCACTCTTGCTTTTCTTACAGATCTTTCAGTTCTGTGGAATAACCTGTTCTACCACAGTAGCTCACCACATACCTTCTTATCAGCCACCCCCCCTCTCCAGTCTCTCCTCTGGTTATTGTTTTCCAGATGTCCCTCACCTCTCTGCTGGCCTCAGCATTCAGAAGCAAGATTGAGTGAAAAAAGACATCATCTTCAAATGGTCACTTGAAATTGCTAAACAGAGCTTTTCGGTGGGGAGGAGATACCTTTGCTTTTGTTTTGGTCTTTTTGAGACAGTGTTTCCCTATACCCCTAGATGGCCTGGCATTTGCTAAGTAGACCAGGCTGGCCCCCATCTCACAGAAATCTGCCTCCCTTGCTAGGATTAAAGGTCTGCACCACCATACCCTGCCTGGCTTTGCTTTTTAAAACAATTTACAAATTTTTAATTATGTTTACGCATGTGTGTCTATGTGGGGTTATGTATACATGAGTGCAGTCGCCTAGAGAGGCCAGAGGAGGGTACTGGGTCCTCCAGAGCTGGAATTACAGGTGAGTTGTGAGTTGCCTGACATGGGTGCTGGGAAATGAACTTTGGTTCTCTGTAAGAAGAAGAGTATGTGCTCTTTTTAAAGAAAACAATCATAAGTGAATGAAATTGCTCAGCGGTTTGACATCACCACATTCTGTGCCCTACCACACACCGACAACTAATAAAATCTCATGTTTTAGAAATTCTATACCTTTACTATACCTTTCACTAGGCACATAGCAATAAACAGAACAGATGTTGGCTGATGTGCTAGCTCAGCACTGAACTGTTGCCCTGGGAAGCTGACCTGCTGCGTTTGAGCTACTTCACCTGGACATTAGGGCTTCTAGCTTCTACCATGACCGTGGTTTGAATAGATAGACACTGTAGCTGTATGGGAAGCACTCAGCGAGAAAAGCACAGAGACCACAGCAGGGAAGTTGTGTGTCTCCGAAGACTTTGTCACTCACCCTGTTGCCACTGAGGACAGCATTTCTGCGAGACCTTCAGCCACACTGGCAACAAGGATGGGCAGCGATGCTGGTCTGGAGGTAAGCGGAGGCTGTTAGGGTTGGCACATCTCAGGCTTACCTGTCCTTGAAAAACAGAAGCTCATTTCCCAGCATTGTCACTGCATCAAAGGACGAACTGGAGTCACAGAGGTCGGGTATGGATGGTGTGTGTGGGGGGACATGGGGTACAGTGGGTTTTCCTGGGAATGTTTTCCGGGGTCCTAGGAGTCAAAGAGTCAAAATGTCAAAATGATGGCAGGTGCTTAAGAGCGTGTACACGTCTGCTCCAGAGCACTGCAGACGTCAGCACACTTTCACACCGTGTGTGACAATATTGTCTGCATGACTGGTAGACCTGGGTTTCCATCCTGGCATCCCCAGTTGTTAGTTGTATGATATGAAACAAGTAATAAAACTTTCAAAGTCTTGGCTCCTACATTGTAAATTGGGAGTAGAGGGTCTGTCTATGAATGCTGTTGTGAGAACTAAATAATGCCTGAAAACCACTTAGTAGAGGCATTTGACACCTAGAAATTGCTTTAAAAAAATGGCTGTAGACACTCGCCTGGTGCCAGACTCCATGTGTCTCTATGAGCTTCTATACAGTTAAAATGGCCGTTCCAAACCAATGGAGCTTTGCTCAGGGTCTTGTACTTTCAAATCAAATACATTTTTAAGCATTTATTTATCACAAAAAGAAGAGAAAAAAAGCTATACAGAGTTAAGACTAGAAAAACAGCCTTTTTTGTTTGGTAGAGATGTGATGCTTTTATTTGTGAGTTCATTACAATAAAGTGATTGTATTTAATAATAAAATAAATAAATATGTGGTTGCTAGCATGGGGGGAGAAAGGGGTTCATAAGCCCCCATCCCTGGGGGAAAGCTATTGATGGATAGTTGATGGTTTCGGAGGGAGAGTGAGTTTTCTGACTCTTACATGAGTGTGGCCCTTTGTAGGCCAATCATACTCCAGTTTGTGACCCTACATTCATGTATATATGGGCAGCACTAATTGGACAGTGAACCTGAAGTTGGGAGGCTTTAAGGAAGTTGGGGGGTGGCATAAAAAGTAAATATGATCAAAATATATTGTAGGTATGTATGAAATTCTCAAAGAACAGAAATATTATGTGAAAGGTGGTTGCTATCGTTTTATTGTTACATGTAGTTTATTTAATAGGTACAGGTATTCTTAATTATAAATAAATTTTGTAAATTGCCTTTAATTATTTTTCTTGTTTCATTTGTTTCTCTGTGATGGACAGGGTCTCCTGGCCTTGATCAGTCTAGCCTTGGTCTTTCAGGTCTTGCCCCAGCGTCCAAGTGTTGGGATTATAGCTATGCACCACTACACCTGGCTATCCCTTAATTATTTCTTTGTAATTAAAATTTTCCTTTTCACTAATTTGATGTTTTATGTATGTTTTCTAATTATTATTGTTATTATTTTGCATATATTTTGCCATCCTATACTGTTCTCAAACCTTTCCTCAGAACCCAGGAAAGATAGAATGAATTCTCATGGAGTTGAAGTACACTGAAGGGGTTTGCTGTTTAAAGGAAGCTTCTAGAGAACCTGCTTGTGAAGCCAGTACTCATCTGGGGCTGTGGTTCCTGCTTCTTCTTTTTCTAAGCAGGCAACTCCTGCAAAGTGCACTTTTCTGACTTGGAGACTAAATGCCTGCCACTTTGAGGGTTAGGGTCAAAGAAGTGTAGAGATCATACCGTACAATGCTTGGATCCCTTTCACGTCATCCTTGGGGAGGTGGAATCTGAAGGGGTTCTGGTACTTATAAGTTGGGTACATCAGTGCTGATGGATCTGTGGAGTGGGCCAGGCCCAGGGCATGGCCAAATTCATGTGCAGCGACGGTAAATAAATTGAAACCTAAACAACACGAGAGAGGGAGGCAGTATCAACACAGGTTTGTGTTCTCTCTCTTGTCTGTACAGTGGGATTTATGACCATGTCACAGTCAGCTCATCTCTTTTTCATAAATGGATTAGTCAGAGGTTGGAGACCGATTCTAGCACCTGACTTCTCTGACTTCATTCTAGTTCCTTTCATCATCCTTTTGTGGTATAGATGGATAACAAAGGGCCCTGGAGCCAGTGGTGGCAGCCACACACAGATGTGGATTCCAGATGCTTGAATCACTTTGTGCTATTACAGTCTACACCCTTTGAAAAATACTTTAACTTGGTTTTATTGCTGAATACAAACCGAATGTAATACAACATGGTAAAATTATCTCCTGCTATAGGCAGATTAGAAGCTTACAAAGAAGTTGAATTCACTTAAAAATAAATCTCAGTTTTCATACCAACTTAGTATGAGTGTTTATTATTTTAACGAATGCATTGAGGAACCTAGGTTAGGAGAGTTGAAATAAATTTTCCAAGATTATAGTTAATAGTTGGTGGAACCAAGATTTGAGATTTTAATTTACTTGACATCAAAGTTGGAATCCTAACCACTATACCAAAGTGTCATACTTTTTATATGTTAGGTGTGTGTGTGTGTGTGTGCCTGAGTGCCTACTCCTTTTTATCCACATGTTTCACACTAAAGATTTCCAGACAACCTGCCCAGCATTCTGGAACCTTTATAGTCTTCTCTGTTGCACTTCTCAGGAGAATACTGACTCCTTTTGGGGGATCATTTCTAAATATAGCCCATTTTTAAGCACAGGTAAAAAATCAGTACATGCTGTATAACTGAACAAAAAGACAGCACTGGGCAGAGGACTGGTTCTCTAGATTATGGGCTTAGAAACAGACAAATCTACAGCATCAGCTTGGGATGGTCTTTTTCCCTGTGGGGTTCCCTTTTGGGATTTTGGCTTACTTGTTTTTCCTAGCCAGCCCCCCTAGTTAAAGGGTGGCTAGGGACGTTGAACCTCAAGGTTTCATGATGGAGGCCCAGGAGAACGTACAATATTTTCCAGCTATGGTGAATTGTGCATATATACCATTCATCCCCATAGTCCACTTCTCGGCATTGTCGAAATGCGTGTCTCCTCCCAGGCCTTCTCCAGGTGCAAATGCATGGGCCAGAGTCCCCCGAGGCCCATCGAATGGATAGGAATCCCCATGATCTAAACAGCAGGAAACACCAACAGGATTAAACCCTAGCAATACTGAGGAACACAGAAGAATGGGCAACATTCTGAATAATATTAACACTAAATTCACTTTCAGTATTTATTTTAATAATTTTTTGGATTATTTGTTTTTATTTATGTGTATGAGTGTTCTGCATGCATGCATGTGAATGCACCTGTGCATGCAATGGTTGCAGAGGCCAGAAGAGGGTGTCAGATACCCTGGGACTGGAGTTGCAGATGGTTGTTAGACACCATGTGGGTTCTGGGAACCAAATCCAGGTCCTCTACAAGAGTAGCCAGTGCTCTTAACCACAGGTGTCAGATACCCTGGGACTGGAGTTACAGATGGTTGTTAGACACCATGTGGGTGCTGGGAACCAAATCCAGGTCCTCTACAAGAGTAGCCAGTGCTCTTAACCACTGAGTCATCCATCTCTCCAGCCCCCACAATATTCATTTTTTAAGGATTTATTTTTATTGTGTGTGTGTGTGTGTGCGTGTGCATGAATATGGTTGCCCTCAGAGGCCAGAAGATGGCATTGGATCCCCTGGAGTTGGAGTTACAGGGGTTGTGAACCACTGACAAGGGTCCTCTGGAAGAGCAGCAGGCATGCTTAACTATGGAGCCAACTCTCCAGGCCCAATATTTAAAATAATAAGGTCACGTGCCAAGGAGTGACTTCCCACTGAAAAACAAAAGGACTGTTTTGTACTTCGAAGTCAGCACTGGAAATAGAAAAGCTTTGTTGTGGTGGTTTTTATTGCGACACACAGCATATGGTAGACTGTGTCTATGCCACAGATGATGGGAGAAAGAACTGAGGGACGTCTGATAGCGACCGGTCTGAAGGCTGAAATGTGAACTTGTTGGTGACAGAGCTTTCAAAATTCAATTCAGCTGAGGGGGTTTTAGTCAACTGAACCAAAAATGTGCTTTCTGTTTGGATTGCACAATACAATTTAAGGAAGTGTCAAATATTGATAAGCTTTCACATGTAAAACCTACGAAGGAGTGAGGTCAGTTGGTCTCCTAACCAGAGGGAAAGCTAAAGCTGATGGGAGGCAAAGCTGTAATGAAAGCTCTTCCCAATGACCGTTCTGCCATGGAGTCTGCTAATGACAAGAAATGCTAAGAACTGCTCTGGTTCTATGTTCCAGGCAGAGGTAGCTCTTTGCTAAGGTCTTGGCCTCTGCCCATCCCAGTACCATGTGATGGAGCATTGTGCTGATCCTACTGGTAAGTCTGTAGAAAGAACAGTATTGGAACAATTCCTCAAGAAACATCACCGTACCTCCGGTTTCAAAGGATATCATGATGTCTGCTTCTCCTGAGTTTACTCTAATGAAGCTCAGAGGGACCGCCGTACTCCAGGCACGCAGGGCCATCTCTATGGCCTTGTCTACCTCGGGAGGACTCATGGAGGAGGTATACTTGGATACTCTGTGAAAAGAAAAAGCACATATTTTCCTTTCACTGACTGCTGCTGAATGGGAAACAGAAGCATTATTAGGCTGTCTCATAAGCAAAATGTGACCACGTGTCTACATTTTAGATTTCATTTCTCTGAAACAGTAATTCTTATTTTGCTTTGAAATATCTTGAATTGTTGCATGTTAAACAATAAGACAAATGAAGGAGAGACTGAGACATGGTCGAGATAGTTTGGCATTCTGAGACTTTGCTTTTCCTTGTTTCTTATAATACTGCTAATTTTTTAAATATTTATTTTTAATTACATGTATGTGTGTGTGAGGGGGGTTGTGCATGTGAGTGCAGGAGCCCACAGAGGCCAGAGGCATTGGATCTCTCTGGTGCTGGAGTTACAGGGTGGTAGTGAGTTATCATATGTGGGTGCTGGGAACAGAACTCAGAACTCAGGTCCTCTGCCAGAGTAATAGGTACTCTTAATCACTGAGCCTTCTCCTAGCTAACTTTTGGGACTATAGAGACTAATACTTAGGTGATATTACAATTAGTAAGATGTCTGTTTTCTTGAAAAGTGGTGGATTTAGTTGAGAGAGGGCTTTTCCCCGGAAAGGGACTGAACTTTTTCTATTACAAAATATGTGAAGTACAATTTTGAGGTTTTAGAAATTCTTATTCAAAGGCCAATGGGATTTCCCCAGGGCTGTTGGGGAGTGGTGGTTTTTTGCTTTTTTTTTTTCTTTTTCTTCTTCTTATTATTCAAGGGAAAGTGCTAGCTTTAAAAACAGAATGCTCACTGAGTCTGAAGAAAAGGGTTGAGACTTGAGCAAATCCCAGAGGGACAATGACATCTGAAAACAGAAAATCATAGTTGCTTTTTTGGACACACAGTGGGTGGAAATGGAGTTGGTGGATCTCAGGGGCTTTCCGCTCTGAAGTGCAAAGGCTGGGTTCTGGCAGCAGGTGAGGAAGGGCAAGGACAGGAATTCTACCTGGGGCTCCAGGCTGGGCTGGACTAATGCTGTAAAGCCAGAAGCCAGATCTGCAGCCTGCAGCCTCCAGACTTGCTTGGAAGCAGGACAGGAGCCTCTCTCTTCTCTGTCTCTCTCTCTCTCTGTCTCTCTCTCTCTCTCTCTCTCTCTCTCTCTCTCTCTCCCCACCTTCAGGGCCTTACACAGAGTAGATGCTTGGCAAATTAAAGAATGAAGGATAGCTCTTCAGGGACTACTTTTGGGCTCTTCAGGACCAGTGACAACTACTTAGCAAAATGTACAGGTTTCACCCCAAAATCTGCAGTTTAGCAAGTATCTTACATTACTCGGATATAGTTGGTTTCAACAAGAGACCCGTGTTAGTAATCCTGGGGTACCCAAAAGAAAGACAAAGGGAAAACGGTAAATAGCTCAAGTCAGGACTCTTCAGCACTCTTAAAACCTGACACATGCTACCGTGCGATACAAATCTGATTTAGGAGCATGTTGGATACCTTGACATTTCCTCATGTTATATAGGTAAATCAGCTGTATCCTTGAGTTGACCATGTGGGTTGAGTCAAACAAAACAAATGGAGAAAGAGTAGCACCAGAAAAGAAAGTAGAGAGAATCCTGACCCAAGGTCTATGGTTTGGAAGAAAAACCCCAAACCCAATAGTAATCATAGGTAATGCACTTAAAACGTACTCCATGCTAGACATGGTTCTAAGCACTTTTTAATGTGGTGTGCTATCTAATCTTCACAACCCAGAGGAGGTCCGTAATGACAATGATCAGAGCTTGCATTTTGTGATTAGTCAGGATCTGAGTCCAGCTCTGTCTGGCTTCAAAGCCTGTGCACACAAGCACTCTGCTGTGCTTTTCCATTTTTAATCACCTGGTGCTAGTTTCAAGATGTTATTCTGGGGTCCGGGAACTGCCAGGCACTAAGACTACCTCTCCTGTGTTGCAGGTGTGGGAACTTGTCTAGAAGCAGAAATGGACGGGCCACAGGAGTTGTGTTGGGGTTTGGGGTTGATATTTATTAATGACTATTATATGTTTCCAAGTGCCATGCTATCTTGATTCATACCCCCATTTTAGCTGTGCATAGTCACCAATTAAAATTCTAGGGCACAGTTGAAGAAAATGATCAAATGATGCCATGAATTTACATATGCTCTTACTGTCTTATTCCAGTTATTTAAGACTGTTAAACCTCACAGTTCCCACTCTGATTCTTTTGTTCAGAGAGCCACCTTATGGATTTGGAGTCTCATAGCAGTTAACAAAGGACTGGCCAAATTCTCCATTCTTAGTGTCTGACCATAGACTCAGCGGTACCCTAGAGCAGTTTAACAAGGAAAAAGAAAATTCCATGTTCCATATGGCTTGCTGGTTTCTGTCTTGTCAGTGGCTTGCTGTGAGCACGTTAGGATAGTCAAGGGGGCTGAGCCATTCTGCAGCGTTCCTTCTATACAGGTGAAATAGATGTGGGCCGCCTTGTCAATCTAGGTAATAAAATGTACTAAAGTAGGAAGGGGTGTGTTTTGATGAACTTGATTTAAAGTAAATTTTAATTGTAAATTTACAACCTTTAATCATGATTGTATCTTAGCAACCAGTTCACGAAATTCTTGGAAACTTAACAACAGACTCCATAATTCCTGACACTGCAGGTTAACTCCTGGAAGCTGTTAAGAGGCCATGCCAGCCCACTGAAGTTTGCACTGTTGCAGCACCCCAGCCTTTCCACATCTCTAGCAGCCATCCTGATGCGCTCGCCCTAAAAATGAAATCCGATCCAGACCCTGGCCTCCTCCACACCAAGGGCTAGGGGCTGCTCACGCTGCCTCTCCAGTGCAGGTCCGCCACTCCCCTTGTGGTACCCCGGACTCGAGTGTCAGCAGAGCACCGCACATTGGTGTTGGAGTGCTGCCCAACACAAGAGTTCATTTCACTCTGCTTGTTTACTGTGTTGTCTGCTAGAAAACTGCCTAACTTTTGCAAAACCTGGGGTAGCAGGCCATTTTTCCAAAGCTGCATCCACGTGGCCTGAGACCCATACAAGTCAGCACCACCCACTTCCCTCAGACTGAGGGGTAGATACTTTGAGTGATGTGCTTTAGACTGGGCTAACCTCTGAATGAGCCCTGTGCTGGTCCCTGAGGTGAGCCCATGTCTCAATACCCAGGGCCCAGGGAGAAAAGACAAAGCTTCCCATTAGGTCTGTGTCCTTGGTCTAGACAGAAGAGGCTAGAGGATGGGGCAAGTTCAGGTCTTGCAGCAGGGGTGCTGGGGACTTGGAGCTCAGATCAGGGCTGGTGTCCCTGCTCTGAGCCTAGATGACTTGGCAGCTCTCTCCATTGAGACCTGTGGGGGCACACTGTTCTCTGTTTGCATGTCTACCTCCCTCTGAAGACTGGGAAGCGGGTTGCTTCACCATCTTGATGACTATAGTAGACTGGAGTCGGTAAATGCTTCCTGGAATCAATGAACAAATTTTATGAATGAGTTTTATCTTGCGTGTGTATGTGGGGTGGGGAGTGTGGGTGCATTTGTACGTATAGCTCTGTATGTATATGTGTGTGGAGGCCAGATGTCAACCTGGGTGTTCTTCCCAGGAGTCATCAATCTTGTTCTTTAGAGATGGTCTCCCATTTTCCTCAGAGCTGGATGATTAGGTTGTGCTGCTTAGCTAGAGAGCCACGAGGATCCCCTTCTCCTTCCCAGAGCTGGAATTACAAACTCAAACCAACACATATAGCTTTCTTACTTGGGTTCTGGGGATCAAACTCAGGTCCTTATGTTTGCAAGGGAAGCACTTTACCAACTGAATTATCTATCTTGAGTTTATTTTTCTTATTGAGAAGATTGCTTTCAGAAAACTGATTAGTAGTGTTAGGTTATTAGTCCTAAGCTGGATTACTTTTCTTTAAAAGATGAATGAGTTGTGTCCAGATGGTAAAATTTATAATGCGTAAGATGGTCAGTTACACTAATCCTGAGGTGTTTTTTTTTTTTTTTTTCAAGTGAATC